AATTCGAGGAGGTGGACATATTGGTGGCGACTTTGGGCGCCATCAGCAAGCTGGTTACAACTGGCATCTATCACATGGAGCAGGTCCGTCATGTGGTGCTGGACGAGGCAGACACGCTGCTGGATGATTCGTTTACGGAAAAGCTTACCTACTTCATGAGGAGATTTCCCGTAAGTCTGCATTTTCCAAATCCAAAGCAGCTGTTTACATTTCTGCTCCTTAGTTCCACAGAAATCACGTACAGGATGCGCGCATTGTGGGCACCCAGCTTCTGCTCGCCTCGGCCACGATGCCCACCAATACACGCGAGATACTGCAACGCGTCATCGATGTAGAAACTATACGTGAGGTGGTCAGTCCACATTTGCATCATCTTATGGCGCATGTGACACAAAAGTTTCTGCGCATGTCCAAGTCGGATCGTCCGGCCAACCTGCTGACCCTGGTCAAGCAGGACTTGGCCAAGCATCGTCCCCTGATTGTCTTCAGCAACAAGTCAGCAACCAGCGACTATGTGTCCATTTTTCTAAACAACAGCGGCGTAAATTGTCTCAATCTAAATGGCGATATGTTAATGAAGATACGTTTGGGCCGCTTCGAGGAGTTCCAGCGTGGCCAGTGCGATGTCCTGTCCACCACAGATGTGGGCAGTCGCGGCCTGGACACAACGCGCGCACGTCATGTGCTCAATTTTGATTTCCCACTGCACATCTCCGACTATATACATCGCTGCGGCCGCATTGGGCGCGTGGGCAGCTCAGAAAAGACACTGGTCACGAATTTCATTTCATCCCGTCGCGAGATTGATGTGGTGCAGCGCATCGAGCATGCGGCACGCACCGGCGGCCTGCTGCCCAATGTCAATGCGAACATTAAGAATATCATTAACAAGCGCATTATGGCTGACATGAAGGAGGCGGGCGTACCGATGCCGCAGGAGGAGGCCTTCTAGTGTACATGTGTTAAATAAAGTTTAGTCACAAAGAACACGTTTCCCAGTCCACGAGGCATATATTTTACTGATTCTCGATTATTATTACCAGCTTTATATGCGCAAATAGTGATAGCCACTGTTGGCCACCGGGCGCCGCACCTTGCTTGGCGGCTTGAAGATCTTGCGCTTGGCAATGAGTATATCGGAGTGGATAATGTCGCTGCCGCCATTGGTTGAGGGTGAGTCCATGAAGTGCATTGCTGCAACGCCCTTAGGCTTGAGCAGCACGGGCCGACAGCCGGCAAATTTGAAGCGTATGGTGCCGGCGCAATTGAGTCGCAAATTGGGCTGCACCAGCTCGGGAAAGGCCTCGCACAGCGTAGGCTTCGGTTTGAGCGCCTTGCTGGGATCATCGCCATGGCACATGGCTGCCGCCAGCGTGCTCCATTCGAGGCGACGCACACCTGGCTGTGCCTCGAATCTGAAGGCCGGCTGTCTGGCATGCATATAACGTTTGGAGATCATTTTCTCATATGCATCTGCAAGCACATTCGAATTAGTTATCGGCAAGCCAGGTATTTTGGCGTCTACTCACTCGCATAGTGTACGAGAAAGGGCTGCAGGCTGCCCGCACCGCAGCCGTATTCCAGCCACTCGTACAAATGTATATCGTCGCGCCCGGCCAGGTATATAGCAGCTGGCGCCAAATCCCGCCAGAGACTGTCGGGTACATCGTTAACATTCAGCTTATATATGTAGGGTATAAACTCCCGAAAGGCGTATTCGCCCAGCGCGATGAGCCCGCGTATGGCACGACTGATGTATTTGAAATCTGCACAAGAACGAGGAATAGGTTGTTGAATGCATACAAACAGTTGTATATATAAGGACAATCGTTTACCCCGCTCATTGCACACGTCGCGTCCCTCAAAAAATCTGTTCAGGCGTCGCTTAATCAAAAATAAACACTCCGCATGCAAATATCCACTCTGTGCCGCCATTTGACCAATTGTTTCGCAGAGCTCGTCCACGTAGCTGTTGCCCACGGGGCTGGCAAAGTAGCTGGAGAGCTGTTGCGGCTCCTGCTGCTGCTGCTGTTGCTCGGCGGCCTCGCTGCCATCATCGTCCAGCTGCAGTTTGTAAATGGTCTGCCCCTGTGAGGTGTCGCTGGTGATGGTAATCTCTGGCACCGTCGGCTGTGACTGTTGCGGCGGCTGCTGCTGCTGTTGCTGCTCCTGCGCCTGCTGTTGCTGGGGTTGCTGCGCTTCTAGGTCCATGCTTTGACTGGCATACTGTTCGGCCTGCGCATCGCTGCCCAAGCCTGGCTCGAGCTTAAGCACTTTATCCAGCTCCATTGGCACCGGTGCTGCTTGATGTGATTGCGCCCGGCCATCGGTCACCTTGATCGTCTCATACGGCGCCATCAGCTGACTGATGAGCACCTCGGCCAGATGAAAATACTCCGGACGGCAATTGACGTGATTCGCCTGTGTGTTGTAATTACAGGCGCGCAACAGGCGCCAACAGCGTTGGCTCACCTGATCGTGCTGTTTGAATGCGAGCAACTGCAACATTTTGCTGACTATCACGCGGTAGCAGGCGCCCATTAACGGCGTTTGAAACGCCTGAGTAAGGGCTACGCTGCGTGCCTGGGAGTCGCCAAAGATTGCCGCTAAAGGGAGAAGTATTTTGGATGAACAGTTAGCACCAAGAGCAGCAGAAGCCATTCCAAGCGCTTACCAGTTACCAGGCTCTGCACAAACTGTTTCAACTGTTCGGTATTCTTGTCCTCCACCGGGCAGATGCAATGAAAGTCCGCATCATTTGGCAGCGAGAGCGTAATGTCCTTTTGAAACTCGTCGCGTAGCTCAAATATCTTGTCTGAGTGAAAGAAATAGCTGCCATCGTAGTCAATGCAATCCCAATCGCTGTCCATGGCGCCCAGCATGGGCGGCACATCCGCATCCTTAAGCACCTCATTGACCAGATCGTAGGTGACCACGCCGCCCGAGTGACGCGAATAAATCTTGACATTCTGTGAAATTATATGGAAATCATGCAATTGTCAAAAAATATTAAATCGGTATACATACATTAATCAGCTCCCAGACTTTGTAGGATGCATCTTCCGCCAGGCGCGCGCACACATCCTGCGAGAGCTCCACGTCCGTCTGGTCATGTTGCTCCCAGAAGATTTTTATGCTGCGTGGATCAAAGCCGGCGTAGCTTTTGTGATGACTCTGCAATGCGACAAAAATACTTTAAAGTTGACAACCTCAAGGTTTCCATAACTTCCTCCTACCACTTTGCCGGGATTGTTCGCCATTTCCGCAGCCACACCCACACCCACACCTTGTCCATGTCCAGCCACGGCAAAGGAAGCGTCAAAGAGATTATAATTGCTCAAACTGGTCGTTGGCGTTGTGGGCGTTGTGGCCATGTTTACATGCGTGGGCGTGGCTGGCAAGCTGCCCATGGGCACGCCAACATTTGTGGCTGAGACAGAATTTTTGCTACCAGACTCCAATTTGGTATTCTTCGAACGTGACTTTGTAGACTTTTTGCTAATTTTGCCAAGCGACGATTTGGCCGGCTCCTCCGCCGAGCCACCGCCTGATGTTTTCATACTGTTTTCTTATGTTATTTGCGTTGTTTATTTCACCTATGCAACTGCACGACGTTTTCTTTTATAAACAAATTTGGCAAACAGCTGATTGATGCAGTTGATACTTTGTGGCGGTCGGTCGATAGGCAATCGATACTTTCATAAGTCAACGATATATTGACAAAAAAGTACTCGGACAATTGTTGCGGCTGCCCACCAAATTCTTGTCATAAAATAAGGAAATCGGACACCAGACATATGGCGGAGGCAGCCAATGTACGTCAGAATCTGCAGAATGTGCCGTCGATCTTTGAAATATCAGCAGCTGAGACGCTGGACAACCTTATCTATCCAGCGCTGAGCAAAGTTTTCGATTACTTTGGCCTGCGTTTGGACTTTAAGCTTTGGGGCAACATACGCGTACGCGAAGAGCTATCGCCGCTTATTACATGGATCCTACAGTATTTGTATTTGCGCAAACGTGCCTCCTCCTTCGGCGAAAGCTTCTACGGGCTGCAACGAACTGCCAGCAGCACCGGAGAGCTGCTCACCCGCCGGCAACAGTTCAGCTCCGCGACGCTGTTGACTCTGCTGCCCTATGTCGAGCGCAAGCTGCGAGCGCGCAGCGCTCAGCATGAGGACACCTATGCCTGGGAGTCGCAGCTGATTAATCTGTTCCATGTCTATAACGCCTCCAAGGCGGTGCACACATTCCTGTACCTAATCAAATATGCGTCCAGCCACTCGCCGCTGTTTCGTGCGCTGCGCCTGACGCTGCGCTATCCCAGCGAACCGCCCCAGGAGGACAAGTGGACGTACTTGTTCCTCAAACTGCTCGAAGTGCTGGCCTTCTTCCTGCAGTTCATACAGTGGTGGTACTCGAACGATCAGCGCCGCAAGCTGGGCGGCACACTACAAAATCCGGAGCCCCTGCCGGAACGTGAACTGCCCCAGGAGCTGAGGGAAACATTGCCAAAGAGCGGCGAATGCCCCGTTTGTTTGCTGCCGCTGCAAACGCCAACAGCGTGCGCTGTATCCGGCTATGTCTATTGCTGGAAATGCATTGTGATGCATCTCAAAGAGAAGGGCACATGCCCCGTGACCAGCTATCCCATTACCATTGAGGATCTGGTGCGCATCTATGAAGCGTAGCAGCCACAAATCTGTATTCATATATTGTATTAAAAAGACTTTCAGTTCCAAAACAATTAGGCGTCTGCCAAATAGCAACCAAAATTGAGGCACAGATTGACATGATGGAAATCCAGATACGATGTCCATATATGGCACGCTATAGACAGGGTCAACGTGTATTCACAAAACGAAAAAACCGAATAGGCTGTAAGTAAAACAAAGAATAGAATAAATACATATTTTTCTAATATTTATATAATAGCACACAGTGAGACGGGAGTTAAGGGAAGACGGACAATATTTGAAAGATAAAGAACCAATTAGAAGCAAGTTTTCTTATTAGAACTTTAATATCTGAGGTACTCGTGTACGGTCTAATGCCATATATGTCCAATTGGTCATGTCTTTTCTTACTGGATTAAAATTAACTGGGATATTAATGTACAAGATAACGCCATTATTATCCAACTGAAAATGTGGTTCTTATAGGAACCGGTGTATCTGGGATACAAGATAGCTTCATTGAACTCCAATTGGAATGATACGGATGTACACGATATTATCAGTGAGACCCAATTAGAAATATTTTTCTCATAAGAACCGACGTATCTGGGATGGGATTCCAAGACTTTTTGCTTATCTTAGACTGTTCCAATGCTATATTGATCAATAATAATACGTATAGCCGAATAATGAAAAGGCTACAGCCAAACATACCCATTGTCATGCAGTATCCCGTGTGCAGCACATAAAATGGCCACATGACCAGCATGGCGGTGCAGGTCATGATTAGCAGCTTGCGTTTGATGCGATTCGAGAGCCTCTCGTGCGGCGCCATTGGCTCAGATGCACAGTACCTCTGGCTCATATGGGAGAGACCCAACAGGCCGAGGCCCGATATCCAACTGGAGAGTGCTGTCGCATTGTGAAATGTGCCCGACAGATGACCATAGTGCGCCATCGAAATGGAGCTCAAAGTGTTCTGCACCAGAAACAACAGCGACAGGCATTTCAGCAGACTTGCCAGCCAGGGCAGGCCGCGTCTCCGATAGCGCCAGTAGAGCCAAGCCGCCAGCAGGCGAGCCGGCAGCTGCAACCATACGATGAATATCCACAATTGTTGCTGTTGCCGGATCACCGCCGACATGGACGGCAAAATGTTCACCACCTCGCAATGCGTATACGTGGAGTTCTCAAAGTCATATATCAATGTCATCAGTATTGTATAGATCGTGGTAAAGGGTGCCAGCGCGCAGCCAATCAGCAAGAGATTGGACAGCGAGATCCTGAATTGCCGCACAGGGCTACGCGTCAGGTCTTTGTCTGAGATGGGCAGCAGTTTCTCCATATTTTAAGGCATTTACAAGTTGACTTTCTTCTCTTTTTCTCTTATTGAAATAAAAGCTAAGCCGATGACAGTGTGATTCAGTGTGATTTCTTAAATAAAATTAAGTAAACTTTGAGCTTAAGCTAATACCGCATATGTATATACAGAATACGCCGGAGATACGGTCGCTGGACGTGGAGCAGTCTAAGAACGCGATATATGTAGACCGTTCCGGGCATCGCAGACAATGCTGAAGGCATAAAAGTCCCAATAGGCTGTCATATGGAAGCCCATATTGGTTAGCACCACAATATACTCGAAGAGCGCAAAGAATGTGTACACTGTGTTAGGATAAACTTGGGATTAATTTGGAGAATGACAATTCGTATGGATTGTTTGCTTACCGCCGGCCTCGCAGCGCGCATTGTGCCGCATGAAACAGTAACCGGCCAGGCCGAAGGCCAGCACATTGACCAGAAAGAGATTGCGCTTATGGCGCAGCGACTTCTCCTCGTGCGGCAACAGCACGGATTTGCGTGCGCTCCGATTCAACAGATACGAGATCAGCATATAGCACTCGCTGCTCGCTATGAACACGACAAACGAATTCCGATGGATCTCATAGTTGTCCGCCGATGTCCACAGCGACAGGCAGAACAGTGCCACATTCTCGATAACGTTCAGCGTACAGGCCAGAATGCCGAACATGCGACGATTGCGCTTGATATGCTCCCTATAGTATTCCAAGTACATGTAGGCCACGGTGAGGCGCAGCGGCAGATGCAGGATTACGGCCAAGCGCCAGACCGTCTTCTGTGGCTCATAATTGCCAATTGCCGCCGATACCGACGGCAAATAGTTGGCCACGTCGCAGTGCGTAAATGTGGAGCGCACAAAGTCATTAAACAGCGACCAGATTACGCAGAAACTAAATGCGCCCAATGGCAGGCTGAGGGCAATTATCGATAACCGGGCAAATGTTAGGCGAAAGTACGCGTTTTTCGGGTCGTTCAAGCGCTCGTAGGTGGGCAGCATGGCGGCGCTTTAGACTTTGCAAATATTTGGTTTCTTTTCTTAGTGGGCGTGGCGCGCCTCCACATTAGCCGCACGCGCCCAATTGTTGTTGCTGTGAACAGTTATTAACCTTTCAACCGAAGCTACATTTTTTGATTGCAACGCCAGCGCGTAAACAAATGCCAATGTCTGGTATGCAGTTACCCAAAAATTTCCCATCATCTATTAAAAAGTACCAAGCAATAAGTTGCATGCTAAACTTAACATTCATGTTTAAATTAAATTATATTGAATTGGTCCGTTAACTTGAACCCAAAAGGATGCCAAGGAGTAGAGTGGCCTTATAAAAAAAATGGTGATAATTAAAAATCATTTTTGCATCTATGCACTTTATATGCATATAAAATTAAGTTGATCCCTTTTACTTGTTTTTATTTTTTTTTTCAATTAATAAAAGTAGTTAGATATCCTCGTAGTAAAATACTAGTTACTGCTAGCAAGCGCTGCATACTTGCCTTTTTATCCAAGTATCGATAAGCAGTGGCTGATTGCAATGATAATATCGATACTTTTGCATGTTATGCCAAAAAAAAAAACAACAAATCCCAAAACAACGCGCTCTTTTTTTTAGTTTTTTTATGAGCAAAGTACCGCATCAACATGGACATACTTTTGGCCAACGTGAACAGTCTGCAGTTCAAGGCGGAGCGCGACCTGATTGAACAGGTGGGCGCCATACCGCTGCCGTTCTATGGCATGGACAAGTCCATTGCCGCCGTATGCAATTTCATCACAAAAAATGGCCAGGAGTGCGACAAGGGCAGCGCCTGCCCGTTCCGGCACATACGAGGCGATCGGACCATCGTCTGCAAGCACTGGCTGCGCGGCCTCTGCAAGAAGGGCGACCAGTGCGAGTTTCTGCACGAGTACGACATGACCAAGATGCCGGAATGCTATTTCTATTCACGTTTCAATGCCTGCCACAACAAGGAGTGCCCGTTCCTGCACATCGATCCACAGAGCAAGGTGAAAGATTGTCCCTGGTATAAGCGCGGCTTCTGCCGCCACGGGCCGCACTGCCGGCACCAGCATCTGCGGCGTGTGCTCTGCATGAACTACCTGGCTGGCTTCTGTCCGGATGGGCCCAACTGCAAGCACATGCATCCGCGGTTCGAGCTGCCGCCCCTCGCCGATCTCAGCAAGGATCAAATGCACAAGAAACTGCCCACCTGTCACTATTGCGGCGAGCTCGGCCACAAGGCGAACTCGTGCAAACAGTATGTCGGCAGCCTGGAGCATCGCAATAACATTAACGCCATGGACCACAGCGGGGAGAACAACGAAGATGGCGTGCCCAATCATCCGCCGCCGGCGTTTATAAAAGTGCCGACGCCGCTGGAGGAGATCACCTGCTACAAGTGTGGGCACAAAGGTCACTATGCCAATAAGTGCCCCAAGGGTCATCTGGCCTTCCTATCGAATCAACATAGTCATAAATAGTGTTAAGCCCTGAACACCCATTGTACATCTAAGAATTCAGTTAGTAGTACAGATTAAATCTTCCGTCAGACCATCAAGCATCTCAACTGTTATACATTCCAGCGATAACATGCAAGCTGTTTTCGCCGGTGCACATTAACATAACGAACCGTTTTCGATTGTGTTCATTCTAGCATTTTTTTGTTTTAAAGTCTAGGTACTTGAATAAATAAAATAAATAAATGCCTTAAAAGTTCAGCAGGAATAAAATGATAATAAAAGAAAAAAAAACAATTGCAATCGCAACACGTCAGACCATCAATCATACCAACTGGCATACTGTACAGCGATAAGCATGCATTAGTCGGCAGACTGTGCTACAGTCCAGCGACTATTAACGGCAGGATATCGATATTTGTGCACACACTTGTTCCCATTGCAACCTAAAACTGCAATAATTACGTAGTTAAGACACTTTTTTTACTATCCAAAAGCATATATATGCTATATTTGCTTAGATATATAAATAACCCATCTTTAACAGCAAATAAAACGGCTGTCTTCGTTACTCGATAACAAACATATCGATAATGCTAATGCAAGTAGCTGCAAGCAAGTAAGCACGATATATCGTCTGCTTGGCTACGCAGTTTGCTGCGCAATACAAAAACAAAGTGAAAAAAATAATTGAAGAGTAAACACATTACAGGTGTAGTTGGCATCAAACGTCTGGGTTTTTTTTCGGTCAACTGTTTAACAAAATTTCAAACGAAATTGCTCAATAATCTAGAACACACCGAACGTAAAGTTATAAAAGGAAATATGACGATTTTGGCTAAATTAACAGGTGAAAAGAAGGATCTAGAGAAGGTGCCATTGCCGTTGCATCTAAATGACGAGGCCATCATGCATCATGGCTCACTAATCAGTGTAAGTTATGTGCAATTGGACAGCCCATGCATACATATGTATGTATTTATTTTGCGCAATCGTTCGTGTCCTTGTCAGGCCCCACATATCCTGTGTGTCCTTCGTGCCAATAGCGCTACAAGTTTCGTTTTCGTTTGCCTTCGCGTGTGTTTGTGTGGGCGGGCGTCTACTACTGCGAGATTTTCTATATACATGCATAAGTACGTATACGTGTGCGTGTGTGTGTGTGTGTGTGTGTGTATGCTCTCAGCAGCATGCATATCTATCGATTTTTCCATGCTGGAATTCCCATGTGTGTCCTTGCACTCCTTACTTCGCTCCTTTTGAGGTCGCGCAGCGTTGGCATTGCCAGCCAGCAGCACGACTTCAGTTCTGGTTGTCTCCACCCTCCCCCATTTTCTTCTGTATGTACATGTATGTGTGTATGTATGCATGTTTGCATATTGTTTTTTGCTCTGGTTCATTGTAAATGATTCCATTGCAAGTTTTATATGCATGTGTATTGGTATGTACATGTACATGCAAATATGCATTCTGCAGCAAAGCTTTTGTCATTTGCATTTGCGTTTTGTTCTCTTTTTTCTTCTTTCATTGGCGCCGCTTTTCATGCATTGAAGGCAATTTTTGCCCTTTGCTCATCAGCGATAAGCCCACACACATGCACACACACACACACATGCAAGAAAGCGCATTTGGCAGAGCTCAGCAGTGTTGCCAGATTAGAAGAATGCGTAAACAGTTAAATAGTTGCAGTAAAAATCTTAAAAGAGAAACAAAACTGTGGTTAGTATTCCAAGTACCGTTAAATAATAATGAAATAAGAAAAGGAACCTGGTAAAAAACACAAGGTCTCTTATGTCTTATGCATATTTCATTATACGAAATAAGTGAGGTTTTACGCTAGAAAAGCTATATAAAAATGTCCCGGCTTGAAGATATGTAAACTGACCACATTCATATTTACACATCCAGTTGCATTACATATTTATGTATTAGTAATATTCTGCATGGAAGTTGTTGTAAATTCTGTTTAATTGGAGTTAATTGTATGCAATGTTCCATTTCGAAATTCCGTTGGAGCCAATAAGCGAAAACGATAAAAAAAAAGTGATAAGAAACGAACTTTACTTGAGAACGTGCAGAAACGGACCGTTATTAGTCATTTAAAGTATATTTACAGTCGTGGCCATACTATTAGTAACACTTTGTTAATAGTTATATTTTTGAAAGTATGGATAACATGACTGAGTAATAACTTACAAAGTGATGTAAAAAAAGTGTTCCTAATTATATGGCCACCGCTGTCTAACATTTATTGTGCTTAAATAAAATATTTATTGCTGATTTTCTAATCGCAGCCTAAAATAGCGTACAGCGATGCGGATACAGAGTCGATGGTCTTCAACCGGCCGCAATATAATTGTCTGAAATCGTTTCTCTTGTTCCTGATCGCCTTCATCGTAATGCTGATGGGGGTCCTGGGCGGCTGGACACTTTACCGGTTATATGCCCCGAATCATGCGAGCATGCGTTACCATGCGCTCTGCGATATACCCTATGCGGAGGACTCAATGGAGATGCCACGTTTCTATGCGCGCAACGATGACGCCTTCGCCCTAAACTGGCGCTCCCTGTTGCCCCAACTGTCCGGTAACAGTGCGGGCAACCAGTTCGGCGAGGTTAACGATAATTTCTTCCGCGAGGAGATCGAGCTGGATAGCAGCGATGACGATGGCTATGCCAAGATCGATGTGCCCGACTTCAAAGATCGTCGTCATGGCCGATTCATGCACGACTTCAAGGAGAACCAATCGGCCATCATCGATACCATCAACAGCCGTTGCTTCATCATGCCCCTGGACCGCGACACCACCCTGCCGCCCAGCAGCTTTGTTGATCTGATGCAGAAAATGGGTTCCGGCTACTATAACATTGATACAGAACGTGTGCGTCGCAATATGCGCATCATAACACCCCGCATTACCGATCTGTCGCTCATCTCGGAGCGCATAGCCAACGAGTGCTACGACATGAAGGTCTACATGATGGAGAAATATGTATCTGGGGGTAAGTGAAAGTACTTCTAGCCTGTACCCATGCATATTATCTAGATATTGTGAAAAGTTGTGTTTATTCTTGATGCAGCTTCGTCCGAGGTTCTGTATTAAATCCCAAGTTAATAGCTCTCGCTGTCTCAAACAACAACAATTTAGAACATTTCTGGTACCTACATCTATTCAAAGTTAATCTTTTAACCCCGAAAATCCTTTAATATTGAACACAGCAGTTATTTTTGCTCTATACAAATTTTACGCTTGGGTACAGGGTAGCTCCACAGTCGGATGCATCCGACTAAATCATCTATACTCATTTTTCAACGATTGTTTTTTCCCTTGCAGTTGCTAAGCGCTCAGCCGAACCTCTGCCAGATGCCGGCAAGTACGCAGAGTTCATGGGTAAGGGCGTGATTGAATACGACCTGTCCAACATAGCCGAGGTGGAGGCCTACGAGGCGAACGAGGCCCGCCAGCAGCAGGTGGCTTGAGCTACAGTTGTTCGTGCGCCGCAAATGTTTTAAATTATTAACATATGAAGAGAAAAACAAAAGAAAATGATAAAAAAAAAACAACAAAACTAAAACAACAACAAAAACCCAAACAAAGACAAATTAGTATTGATTTCCGTAAGTTTGTGTGTAAAACGATGATCTTGGGGCGAAAGCCTCAACTTGTAGTGTTTAGTTCTACTTAGAGATGGGCGCGTGTCTGAAATTCTAAGCACGACACGAATAACTATTTTAAAAACACGCGAGCAACAGGCACAATTCGTTATATTCCTTGAATTTTTTATAGAATATTTATTCCTACTTAATTATTTGTGCATATTTTTACATCATATTGTTATTTAAGAGAAATGTTTTACTTGTTTGCTTTACAGTTAATTCAATTTACTAAATTTTATATATATATATTTTAATTATTCACAAATTATAAAAACAATGTACAAGAAATATAACCTCGTGTTTGGGCCTACAAATATTTCTTAATTTTAATTCGAATTTTTCTAAAATTTCAAAATGCCTTCCTCTTTTGTATCTTATGATGTTACATAATTTTAAATTGCAATATTAGTCAAATTTAAGATATTTATGCTATGTATGTAAACTGTTGTGCGCAAATATGTTTTTTTTTTTAAACACGAGCACGTCGTGTTGCGATGGGCTAGAAACTAAGGCACACGCCCGGCTCTATGTTCGATGTAACCATGCTTATCAACTGGAAACAGATCGTATTGTATTGGCCAAGTGGCTCGACGAGCCGTGCACTTCCTGCACTGTCGCTTGTCGAGCTCAGTTAAGAATAGCGAATCATATAAATATAAATATATATATAAAAAGAAGAAACCCTGTTAAGAAATGTACCTAGAAAGCAATTAAATGCGATTGACGAAATTGTGACAAATACTAAAAAATACGAGTGCGAATTGGGTTTGATAAAAGAGTAGAGATTTAGGATTGCTACAACTTTCTATTGTATATTTAAATATAAAAGGGGAAACCATAAAACAAACAAGATTAAACCCAAATAAAGCCCATTCCCAACTTGATACATATAAATACACAATGCATTCGATTCCAAGTACATATTTTATATTATATACTCTTTAAACTCTATAACTATAAATAAATGCGTACGCGTGCTAAACAATTATTTATATAGAAAAACAAAATTGAAAAAACGCTATTTACATTTGCAAGAAGAAACAAATGACAACAACATTATCAAGAAAATAGTAAAAAGAAACCTAATCTAAATGTTCTTTAATCGATTTAAATGTATTAAAAACGCGAATTTGTGATCTTTAAATAATTGTGGTTTATTTATAAATGGGGCCGGCACAAAGCTATCGTATGATCCACGCCGTAGGCCACCTTCAGCACCTTGCCATTGATGGCCGCCTTGAAGGGAAAGAATTGATCCTTTTTGTGCCCCACGCCCAGATGGCCAAAGCGATTCTTGCCCCACATAAAGAGATCCCCATCTGAGTTGATGGCGCCCATGTGAAAGACGCCGCAGCCAATCGAGACCACAGTGGTTGCATTGCTGAAATCATTGCGTCCGAACAGCGGTGGCAGCAGGTGTTGCGGCTTCGACGTTTGCTCCACAAACGGACCAAAGCCCAGGATGCCATAGCCCCAGGTGTAGACCAGGCCTTGATCGTTCAGAGCCATGCAGAACGAGCCGCCTGCAGCCACATCCTTAACCTTGCCTATGCCCTTGGTTAGCTGCAGTGCTCGAGGCGTACAGATCTGTGGCGCTGCATCGGGTGAATCATCCAGCTGACCGTACTCCGAATTGCCCCAGCCAAAGACATCGCCATGCTCGTTCAGTGCCAGCACACAGTCCGAGGCGCAGGCAATGCGCACAATGCGCTCCTTTTCAATGTCGCCGCCAACAAGCGTCAGCTGGCCAGCGCTGTAGTAGTTGCCCTGCCCTGTCTGGCCATCGGCACCCCAGCCGCAGCTGTAAACGCGTCCCAGCTTTGTCAGCAGCATCGTGTGATCCTGGCCACATTCCACGGCCACAATTTCATCCTCTGCACCGCATATATCCGTCTGGGCTATGCGGTGTATGAGCGAACTGCCCGTATAGACCTCGTCCTCAATGATGGATCGTCCACACTGGCCGTACGCATTGTGTCCCATGGTGAAAACGGTGCCGTTCTGCGTGACCACAACGAGGTGTGCCCGTCCGGCAGACATGCAGCGCACTTGCATGTCCTCATCCGTTTCGCCCTGCTCGCGCGGCAGCTGAATTGCCGTTGGATAAATAATCACATCCAGGTTGGCGGGATCCTTTTTATTGCCCTTGACTTGAAAACCCAGCTGCGAGTCCGTGTTGAGTCCGCTGCCGAATAAGGTTTGACCATCGGACCGCTTCACAGCATAAACCGTAAATCCATAGCCGGCGGTCACATCCGTAATTTCATTGTTATTCGAGAACTGCAGCCGGGTCGGATGATGCACCATTTCCGTGTAACGTTCCTTAGCCTTCTTCACGTTAGTTTGCAGCCCGAGAGCTCCTGTTTCCTGGAAGCCCCACACATACACACGATTTGTATGGGCATCGCTTGTCTTTGGTTCATAATCTAAAAGAGATGTTGCTTAAAAGCGGAGCCCAACGTGCTTATGCCGTTATACTTTTGACTTTTTTCTGGTCCTGCAACAAAACGCTGCGCTTAGCCTTCGACGTGTACTGGCGGCTCAGGCGGACAGACGCCGTTTTCACGCCATGCAACATTTTTAAAATTAACATTTTCATTAAATTAGCGGATATTTAAATGAACACCTCGATGCCATGGTTATGGTTATGTTTATGTGCACTCACAAGCTACGAGTATCGATTAATTTTGGTATTTTTTAAATACGGCTAACTGAACAGTTGTGGTATTTTGGCAGTTGCATAATTTTAAAATTTGAATACCATGTTAACTGATAAAAAGGTATTTAACTTTATTCTAGAACATATTTTAAGAGATTTAATTTCCTGTTCAACATTTTTCTGTGAACCTAGCTTAGTATTGCCCGAATACAGCCCATTCTCAGCTTTAGTTGGCACCGCTTCTTGAGGAGTTGGCTTTTATACTTTAGACCAATGCTGATCCAGAGATCTGTGCCGCTTCCCTCATCGCGAGCCTGCCCGCTAACGAACGTCCAGTCGTCAGTGTCACAGTCCTGATTCTGACGTTTAATCATGTCTAGCACCTGCTGGTTTTCCAAAACTGGGGGAGGAACCCACACCTTAATGGTCGTACGCATGGGCAGCTCGTGTCTACCGACGATAATGATCACATGGAGCTCCGGATTGGAACCAAGGTCGGCCAGAATATCTGCCGGGTACCGACGATTGGGCTCCGCAGGCGGGTGCTTCTCCGCTTGGCCGAGCTATCTGCTTCGGCCCAGGCGTTCGAGCGTTCGCACGTTGTGTGGAGTCACCCTTTGTGAACCGCTCATATCGTCGCACGTTGCATTCGTGCTTCCTTTTCAGGTGCAACTCTCTCGCGGTCAGCGATTCTGGCTTACGGGCGTTGAGTCCCCGCAGGTACTTAACCGACGCCCTGTAACCCGAGCGTTGTTTGCGACGGAGAGCAGCGGCCGCTTCGTCAAACGGTTCCACTTGGCCTGCTTCCGGCATATCAGAAGTGTAACCGACACGCCACACGCCTCCAGATTTGCTCTCTTCCCTGGCTTTTGAAAAGAAACAAATTTGGGTTCGTTTTGTTTTCTATAAATTATTGTTATTTTAATTCGATATATATCGCGATGGTGCGATAAGAAATCGCAAGCACCGTCTTGCCTATCGATGCTACAGCTGTTCACCAAAAGTACTCGATGCGTTCGATCTAAAATATCGATGTGGGCGACACATAATATCGAAATTGTAGAGAGCGACGAAGAAGTGGCTCCGGTAAAATTGCCTAAAATTATTAATCAAACGCGAAATAATTCTTAGAAATTGTTGAATTGCATACATTGAATGTAACGTAGTGCGGTTGCGTCATTAACAGCAAACGAAAAGTGTCAAATACAAGCATAAAAGTGATTTTCAACGGGCCAGCGCATTATATATATACACATACAGACGAACAGATGTATACATAATGTACATTTAATGCATTATTAATATTATTAGTATAGTGAACGTATGTTAAGTGACAAAATAGAGTTTGGCAAGCGCCTGCAAAACATTTGAATATCATTCGCAGTTAAGTGAAGAAAGTGCATTTTTATATGGTCCCTTCTGCTGCTGCACAAAGGGCTGGGGCCGTTGGCTGCTGCTAGGAGTTGCCGTCGTCATCGCCGTCGTCGTCGTCGTCGTCGCCAAAAACTTTCGTCGTCTCCGGTAGGTACACACAAAATATACGGCTGCTCCTGTTTAGCTCCTGTTTTGTGTCTCGCTCATGCTTACTCGTGTGCTCCGTGCTCCGTGCTCATTCACTCTCCCTCTCTCTCTTTCTGGCTCTCTCTTAAAAATCGCTCGTATTTGTTATGTTTGGTTATACTATTCTCCCCATTTACATATTTATCGATTAACAGCGCCGTTTCGATTGCTCCACACCACCCAACAAAAACGGTACTTTTCCCAGGATAACACACATATGAAGGTGTCTGAGAAGGAAGCAAAAAATTGCGTATCTGCTGTGCTCTCTCTGCACTTTCACAGTTACCTTCCCTCTCTCTTGCTTACGAGTGCGTGCGCAAAAGCAACCCCCAGTCGACCTAACATTTATCTCTGCGAGCGCAATCCTTTTTATGCAACGCCTGCTCGTGTTTTCCTTCCGCCTTGTCTCGCAGTTTTTGGTAACCATGGTCGTCGCCATGCACACCGCCCGCGGCTATATATGTGTGTCAGCAATCTGTTCTCGCCACCCGCTCAACCCCCTAAGCGTTCAAACAACCACCGCCCGCACTTCGGATGCGCAGTTCACTTCGGGGCGCAGTTCAACCCACGACGACCTAAAATACACATGTCACAGGTTTCTCTTCAGCATCCATTCTAAATTCAAACTGTAGCGACAACAACAACAACAACAACAGCTGCGCAAAATAACTAAATCAACTCGAATGCACTGAATTGAGTTCCGTTATTCTTTTCTATCAGTGTTGCCAGACTTTGGTTGTAGCTACATACATATATTGACACATTAAAGTTGCCAGAAAAAAAAGCTAAACAATTTTAGCTTGCTTCGGCGGAAATTTCCTTAAGCCGGCTAATTTTGCCATTTTATTTCGCGCTTTTGAGTTAGCTTTTTATTTTTAATTTTTCGTTTGTAAAAAGCGGAGGTAAAAAAGTGTTGTGGCAGAAAAAGTATACCAAAATTACAGAAAATAAAAAAAGACAACACTTTGAAGCAATCAAAAAAGCGCCATAATTTTAAGCTAAGGCACAAAAATGAAGCTGCAAAGAGCTTTCACTCAGATGCTTTCTCTAAATGTGAATTCTAACTAAACTTGAACATTTTTCAGCTATTAAACTTTTAAATGACTAAAAAAAAAAGTCTCATTAAAAAACTAAAATGTCAATAATATTAGCTGAAAATAGAAAAATTATGATTTTGGCTACGGTATTTTCTAGCTTTTTTCCCATCTTAAGGGCTAGATCTAGCTAACTTATTGCACCTAGAATGCCAGCACTGATTCCGATGTTCATGTCCACATAATAGATGCACATTCATATATAGAAATATATGTTTATAGTTTTCCACGCAAGCTGCTTGTGGCTGCCCTTTGGCTACGATAACGCCGCACCCTCGACTCACTCAATTTTCTTGTTGTTTTTAGTGCATTTCGCTGCCCCATTTTCTGTGATTTAAGAGTATTTTCCCCACCCAACTCTATGAAGATCTGAAATAATAGAGAATTGTTTACTTTGTTTTCAATTAATTTCAATAATTTTTAGGGCCACTTTTTAGAGTATTTCTTGATATGGTTGTTGCGTTGCCCATCCGTTGAATGGAACGAACATTTCCTATCCGTGAAACAACTTTCCGCCTCATAAACCCGTCGAGCACGTGCAACTCTTTCAATTTTCTCTTTGACGAACTGTCTCCGAATCATGGACAAGGCAAAGGCAAGACAATGGCGCTACCTTGGCAATGTCTTGAACCTAACAAGACATACAACAAATGCGACAAAATAGATCGAAGTGGCAGCTACACTCAGCTCAGTTCAATGGCCATAAGCAGTAGCCATCCAAGCATTTCAATGTCTTAGCTCTGTTGGTGGCCTTGTGCCAGAGCTGCGCAGCGCCAGTTGGTGAAGCGCTACACGAAGTCACGTTTTCCTGTGTAAAATCTAAATTGTACATCAATTTTACATAAGCTGCAGCCTGTTTATTTATTTAAAAATTGGTTTGGTATAGTAAAATGTTAACTGCAGCTAGCTGGTAACATTTGCAAGTCAAATCATCAGTTGTTTACTAAACTAAATGTTAACTTCATGTAACTGTTAACATTTGCAAGGCACTTAATCTGCATTGTAAATATGTTTTGAATGCGTATTAAGTTGGACATCCACTTTATAAAAGCTGCAGCCTTGTTTGTTCAAAGGATTTTTACTACATCTAACTGCTAACATTTGCGAGGAATTTCATCTGCATTGTAAATATATTTTTGAATTCGAATTGGTTTGTTCATACATTTAACAAAAGCTACAGCTTATTATAGTTGTCTTACTAAACAAATTGTTAACTGTAGCTACCTGCTTACATTTGCAAGGCACTAAATCTGCATGGTAATTATTTCCTATTATTGCGAATTGACCACACAGCGTTAGTCAGGCGCATTATTTGCTCTACAATGCGATTAGACAACATAGCATTTGCACGGTACTTTATCAGCCGGATAAATTCTTACAGTGCGAATAGGAAGATAGTTGTAACGCCGTAACTTCTGGGTTATTACTTCCAAAGTTGGTCTCCAGCATAAAAAAAGCGAAATGTCTGCATTTATGTTTTTTTTTTATACCCTGAACATCTCCTATAAGACCTAGACCTAGATCTAGAAATTTTAGATGTAGGTGCTCCTAGTGCCCCCGCAGATCGAGTTTGTTTCCGATAATCAATAACTTACTCCGTTTCCAAGCAATCGATAAAAATCGATATAGATATCCTGTTTTTTGGGCAATTTTGGTAAATAATAAGAGCTAGAGTCCCCAAACTTGACATATAGCTTCTAAAATAGAATATATGTATGCATTTGATGTTGAAAGAAGAGGGTTCAGGGTATCTCCTAATCGGGAGTTCCCGACTAGAACCTCTTACTTGTTTTTTTTTTTGCATATGTCTTGTCCATTGTCCCTGATATATTTATCCCCATGGCAGCTATCAACAACTGTACAATGTACATGAGAAAACGAGTCTTGCGCAAATATGAATATAATCTATTAAGTGGTTCTTTCGTGGCGCTAAGCTTTCTCTCGAGGCCAGCCATCGAGTGAAAACCGAAACAAAAAGCCCCAAAATAGACGGAAATGCTGACAGCGATACGGAAGATAGAATCACATTGTGTCAATGAAAAAAAAATGCTTTCGCCTTCACACACCGTATACAATTTCTTTCTATTTTGAAAAAAATAAAAAAAAAAACTTATCGCTGATGACAGCAAATCTTTTGCTTTCGGCGAAGGTGTTGGTCGAAACACGCTAATCAAGCTCGCAGAACTTGCGAATTTGGCCTTCAACTCGTCGAGTCACAAATCTAAAATAATAAAATGTCCAATACCTTTTTGGGTCGCATAATTATTGATCTTTGCAAATATTGTTTGGCCTACGGCTGTTGACATTGACTTTGGTTACGCTTTGGCCAACAACCTCGCCAAGTTGG